TTGAAAGTGAGAAGTGAATGGAATGTCTTCAAATGATGAGACACTAAAGAGCTTCTGAATATTGAGTGGTTGCTCTCAATTATTTACTGATTTGTGTTCATTATATTTTAGCAGCCTCTACTGATATTTCGGTACATAATTATAATTTGATTTTAAAATTCACTCTCATCAATGCACATTCCTTCTGATAGAAACTGCATATTTTAGTGTTTATTTGTATAATGTACTATTGTGCAATCTAAAAAATGTCATGAGCCAAAAAAAATAATAACTTCCTAATTTTTTTTAGTATCAGGTTGTTATATTTCTTTCTCAGGCACATAAATTATGTAACAATTCTTTTCTGAGTTCCAACTTTTTACAATTTTACATTTAATTTATATTACATATATTTTAATTCTTAATATTATTTAAATAGTACTTTTCTTCCACCATTCAGAAGACAACTTTGCTTCCAAAAATTAAAATTGTAAATTAGGACAATTCTCTGAATTTCTAAAAGTTTCAATCACTACTTAAAGTTCTAAAGATGTAATAGCTGTGGTACAATGTTAACATCAGTGCTTTCCTGAAGTTAGTAAAAGTAATTTTTTTTTTTGTGGTGGTTTAAGGATGTTTTGCATAGAACTTCTTATCTTCAAAATACTTCGCAAAATGTAACTAGATTAATATGTCTTAAAATTACCCTTTTACGTTTTGGTATATAATTATACATAGATAAACATTGGCTTCCAGCTCAGTCTTTGCAGGCGTTGTCGTTAAAAAGAAAAGAAAGGCGAAAAAATATTAGCAGTCTGACATGACATGTGCCAAAAATCCAAGAGTCCGCTTCCTTAGACAGAAAGAATAGAGAACTGTAAATTGCATATTGGATAGTTATATCAAGTACCAAATTGGGCTGTGCGCAACCTTTCCCATCATCGTGGGGAGCATTTTATGTAAAATCATCCAGACAGATCTCACTCTGATTGCAAAGCTGGCCGAAAGTCTGAGCAAACGGTGAATCTCTTTGCCTTTCTTCAGTGTGGTCACGATGGCAGTGCCTGCCCTGTGGCACAGATTGGTGTGCAGTGCCAGGGCTGGGAGCTGGAGCTAGAAATGGGCTTTACAGCTCCCGTCAAGAGGTGGGGTGATACAGGAGAAAACACTTCAGATATTTTTCAACTCTGTTGCAATTGCAGAATCCTGGAAACATTCTGTGAAGGCTTCTTCTGAGGGAAGTTTCGTGTTAATGTAATCACGGAAACAAATAATTTAAAAAAACATTATAACGCATACTATTTTTGCTCTCTCCCACTCATTCTATGACTGTGCAAAGAATAATCCCACTAGAACCATTGCAAATGCATTAGAAGCATTTCAAATGAACAGGAAAGAAGGGAGAATAATAAATAAATACATGAAATAAACTTGTGACAAAGTAGTTATTTAAACAGCAGTGAATTCTATTTGAACTGACGTGACAAGGGGTTCGTTCATTTGTTCAGCTGTGGTAAAAGTACCATGTGAAGCGTCGGCTTCGGTGTCCATTGCAAAGAAGATTTAAGGATGCTGGGAGTACCTTGTCAAAACTTTGCCCCATCTGTATAAACTGGAGTAATTTTGTTACTTTTCTTGTAGTCACTCATGCTCACTGAAGTAGTTTCTGCCTTTGATACCTGTATAACTAGTATTGCTAGAGAAGTGCAGTCATAATAAACAAAACAAGCAAATGGAGGTAATGTGAAACTGAAATGGATAGCGGTGGTTAAAGAGTAGGAGAGGAAGGAAGAGAATTAACAGAGCGTAGTCCAGGCCTGAAAAATCAAATAAGGTTTTCTCTTTCCTGCAGATTAGGCAAATGCGCGCCCCCCCCCCCCCATTGTTTCTCTAGGTGCGATTTTTATATTAAATTGTAGCACAGAGCACACGGTTGCAGCAAAGGATAACTTGATGTAAATGCTGACCTGAGGAAAACCATCAGTCTCCCAAAGCTTGCTTGTATAGCCGGGGCATTGCTTGTAGCATTTAGTTTATGACACAAGAAGATGGCAGGGCAAAGGGGAATTACAGTCCTTGATAGATTATCACAGGATATCCCTGTGTTACATAAAATTGGTGTTATGAGTTTTTCTTTTCAAAACACAGGAAACCATGGCTTCAGTGGACTTTTTTGATTTTTTTTTTTTTTTTTTTTTGCTCATAAATATTACATTTAGAGTTAGTGTATCACTACTGTAACTTTACCCAGTTACGTTAAATATTTCCTATAATTGTTAGTATAATGTTATTCCATTGATTTTAGTGTAGTTTCTCCTGTTTTTTTAGTGGTGTAAATGCATGAAATCATGCTTACACAGAAGAGTAATAGAAGCATTTCTAACAGTCTGTTGCCTCCTTCGAAGGTGAAACCTGTGCTGACCTAAAGGGGTGAAATCGCATAGGATAAGCCCGTCTGATTTTTAGTTTAAAACAGGGGATATATTATTACTCCTGGAGGCCTCAGCACACTACTATCTGGAGCTCTGAGAACTATAGCACTTGTGGTTTTGGGAAACTCGATATAAAGAGGAGTTTCAAATTGGCTTCCTTTCTGCAGCAGGCTGAATGGTGCCATGATAAAGATTAGTGGCCATGTTCTTCTCTTGGCTCAAATGTGAGCTACAGGTGAAAACAAAAAATTGTAGCCGAAGAATAACACCAAAATTTAATTTGGAAAATGTAACATCTGGTATAATGTATCCTCTGAGTATAAATAATAATTTCTTTAGCCCTAGTGACATGCCTTTCTGACAATCATAGTTAAAAATAAAAAGGTAAGGCTATGGTGTTTGTATTTGAAATGGATAACGTAGAAATTGAAAGAGAGAGATGATCTCTGAAATGGAGGGTGCTTTAGAGATATGACCAGCAGACAAAGTAGCTCTAGTGTTAGGTAAACAAAAGTCCCAAATCAGGATTGTGGTCTGCTGTGGTAAGTGTTTTGCCAACAAGATGGAGGTGTCTTGTGCATTAGCTAATTAGTCGGTTCTTGTAGGTTTTTGTAAAGGGCAGTGGTATAAGAGTCCAGCAGTTAGCGGCAACCTTAGCTGACCTGATCTAACAATCATGACAAACAGCAAATACCTGTGCAAAGGAAGATACTGAAGCTCTCTAGCCTCATTATAAATTTGTGCAATTCCATTAGCGTCAGTGAATTCCTGCACTTTTACAGCAACCTAGCCTGGAACTGAGGGTCCAAGCCTCTCGGTGGGTGCAGGGTTGTTCATTTTGCTTCTGCTGTACTTGCTGTGATTCCTGTTGATAGGGTGTGTACTCACTCAGTGTGTAGCCTACCTTATTTTGACAAAATTCTTTGCTCTTGGTAATGCCATACAGAAAATCATCCTGTTGGGTTCTCAGATGACATCCAATCTTTTTGTAGCTAAAGCTGTATTTGTGAAGGATGAGGTGCTGTCTTCCGTCCTGTGTGTTAACATTTGGCTTCTCTTCCCTTCTGCCTGCTTTTGTAAATCAATTTTATTTGAACTATAACAGAAATGTTTTGCGACTTCAACGTCTTTGCAGATAGTTTTTTTTTAAAAATGTTTTAATGTAATTTCCTATAGCAGTGAAACTTCTAAAAATATAAAGCTATTGTACGTGAAGGAGAATTTTGCTGTATACATTCATGCATCTAAAGACAGGAGAGGGCATGCTGTACATAACTTGTTTGACCTGTAACGTATACAAGGAATGGAAAATTTGGCTGCATGTGTAATGACCTGGTAGCCCAGGTAATTTCCTTTATGCCTTAAATTAGGTAACTGACATTCATAATGCATAGAATCTTGCTTGTTGAGCAGTCTAGCGTTATATTTGCAGAGCTGCTGCTATACTAACTGGTATTACATTCACATTCGGTGATTTATTTGACCCGGGAAGCCAAAGAATTGCTTCTTTGCTAAAAGGATGTTTTCTAGAGTTCCAAATGATCAAATAGTCTACATTCTAGTTTTCCACTTTACTACAACTGTGATGAATATATGATCATTTGCAATATATGTGTGTATATATGTATATATGGTGGGACATTATGTATATATAGTATATACATCAGCATATATTGGGCCGTGACTTTCACTTTGGTCTGTGGCTTCAGCAAGCTATTTTAGAAACCTCACAAATAAATCACTAAGCACACTCATGGAAGTTATCTCCTTCCTTAGATAAAAGTAGATCTTTACCAGTTTGTATAGAGTATGCTTTGGACCTGTCCTACTCTTAAATAAAGCATAATATAATAAGCTAGAATTTGCAATGGCTGCCTGACACACACAAAGGTATTTTAATTAACCTGCATGCAGAAATTAACCCTTAGAGTACTGCTTCAAAATTCCTCAATTTATTTTGTTATTTAATTTTACCAGTGGGCTATGCTGCTTTTCTACTCAGCTCATAGTACTGTACATAAAGTACATTAAATAGCCATACACAGAAAAGAAGTGAGAAAAAAAGAAAAAAAACCCCACTCAGAACCAACTTCTTATAAACAAGAGATTCTACAAGATTAAGTACCCCAGGTTGCTAATGGGTAATGTATTCCTAAGCAACTATTTTTTTTTTTTTAAGGTTTGATATTATGGCATGAATTAAAACCACATAGTGCTTCACTGTAGCTCTGTGCTTGTTAGGTTTGCTCCTAAAGTATTGTAGGTCTGTCTCCTACAGAAAGAAGTCAGTTCTTTAAGGGTTAATGTGGGGTTAAGGAATCCTGAGGTATTCTCCTGCTTGTCCTTTCTTAAAGGTATCTGCATGTTAGTTCTTGGATATTACCTGAACAGATGAATATAAAGACTGTATGAATGACTAACTGAATGAATGAAATAATTGATTGGAAATGCTTGCTTGTGTCTTGTAAACGACTGGAAAACCCATATGTGATTTCTGAATCAAGGTCTTTAATGAAATGCATAAAAATCTCACCGGAGTAGAAACTCACATACTGACAATTTGCTCCAATTTCTTTTTCTTTCAAATAGCCCAATAGAATCCTGCCAGAATTTCTACAAAGATTTCACGTTACAGATCGACATGGCTTTCAATGTGTTCTTCCTACTCTACTTCGGCTTGCGTGTAAGTAGTGTATCTTTACTAGCAGGAGTCAGGGAGGGAATATGGCTGTTTGGTTGGGAGAGTCTTTGAATACTGACTTTACCATGGCTGGACAAAATTCAGCTAATTTCTAAAATGCATAAGCAATGCATTTGACTTGAGAACGTGTAGGTAATAATAATAAGCATCTAAGATCGCTAAGGAGACCGATAGTTTGTAAGCTGAGCCATCTGTTCCAGAATGTTCTTGCATGGTAGAAAGTGAAAACTGTTATAGCTCAGTGCTGGTCAGTGACATCAAATCTTGTTTCAATGTTCTCAATGGAGCGATAACTACCTCAGCAGGACTTGGAAATACTTGATCTATTCCTTTGCTGCTGGGTATGTCTTTGGCAGTCGAAGGTTGAGATAACAGCTGGTACAGCTGCTGTCCTCAGTTTTATGCCCATCTATTTTCCCAGACTGCTAATGAATGCTTTGCAGAAGCTGTAAATACTAGTCAGCGTGCAAAGATGTATATCTTTCACTTTCTGAAAACCGATTTTCAAATGCGATTGAAGCTGTTGGTTTGCTTTTTTTTTGTTCGGTTCTTTTTTTTTTTTTTAAATATGCTTTGAGAACTAACTTTGCTCATTGTTCATTAGAAAATAAAGGAAAAAAAGACCTCAAACATAACAGAACTATAAGGAAAACCTCATGTGAGCAGAAAGTCTGCCACGTTGGTCTTTAAATTTGATAGAAGTATTGCCTCATGATCTTCCTTTGTTCATGTTGCTCTTGAATCACAGGAACTTGTATGTCACAATTATAGTTGAGTTCTTCCTGTTTCACTTCCAACCAACTTTACCAACCTTTTCTGATGATCCAGTAAGGAATTTTTTTGCAAATCTATATTATTTCATTACTCGGTCTAGGTGCAGTGTCTGTCCTTTAGCTAAACAGAGAAATTCTTTCAGTTTTAACAGTACTATGTATGCATTCTAAGCTGTATTTTAAAAGCATGTAGTGTAATAGCCCCCTAATCCTTGAAGATTTGGGGGAGCTTTTGTGTAAATGTCCACCAGGCCTGCAATATAGGTTAACTTTTTGGCATAACAGATTCAATGCACTGTACTTGTGAACTTCCAAGAGCCCTTTTTTCAGAAGTATCCAAATGCCTGTAGATAAGGTCATGTGTTCTTACCAAGGGAATTAAAATTATGTATTGGCCACTCTTTCTTACTCAAAGCAGTAATGTAGGCTACGTTATCAAGAAGCAGAGCGCAGTAAGAGACAATATGCTGAGAGCTGATGTTAATACTTTCATATCCACACTCTGTTTTTTGGAAGGGAGAGAGAGTATTGCAAAGTCCACTCTGGTCCTGTTGAGCAAACATGCTTTCGCAGTTACAGTATGAGAGATGCACTGCTAGAACACCTTTTTCAGTTTTAGTTTCAACCGAAACTAAACAATAAACAGGAGGAGCTGGAAGCCATTATACAGCAGGACGGCTACGACTTGGTCGCCATCACAGAAACGTGGTGGGACAACTCGCATCACTGGCATGCTGTCATAGATGGCTACAGACTCTTTAGGAAAGACAGACCAACAAGGAAAGGTGGGGGAGTTGCTCTGTATGTGAGGGAGCAAGTAGAATGCATTGAGCTTGGCCTGGGGGCAAATGAGGAACAAGTTGAAAGCTTGTGGGTTAGAATTAAGGGACAGGCTCACACAGGTGACATTACGGTGGGTGTGTACTACAGGCCACCTGACCAGGAGGAGGAGGTTGATGAGGCCTTCTACAGGCAGCTGCAAGCAGCCTCACAGTCACAGGCCCTGGTTCTCATGGGGGACTTCAACCACCCTGACATCAGCTGGGAAGACCATACAGCTAGGCATGCGCAATCCAGGAGGTTCCTGGAGCATCGATGATAACTTTCTGATGCAAGTGGTGGAGGAACCAACAAGGAAAGGCACTCTGCTGGACCTTGTGTTAACAAACAAGGAGGGACTGGTGGAGGATGTGAAGGTCGGAGGTAGACTCGGCTGCAGTGACCATGAAATGGTCGAGTTCAGGATCCTGCGTGGAGGAAGCAGGGCGATAAGCAGGATCAAAACCCTGGACCTCAGGAGGGCTGACTTTGCCCTCTTCAAGGAGCTACTGGGAGGAATCCCGTGGGCCAGGGCTCTCGAAGGCAGGGGGGTCCATGAGTGCTGGTCGCTCTTTAAACAACACTTCTTCCATGCACAGGAGCAATGCATCCCCCTGAGAAAGAAATCTAGCAAAGGAGGCAGGAGACCTGCATGGTTAAACAAGGAGCTTCTAGCGGAGATCAGGCAGAAGAGAAAGGTCCATGGAATGTGGAAAGAGGGGCAGGCCACTTGGGAAGAGTACAGAAACGTAGTGAGAGCATGCAGGGATGCGACGAGGAAGGCCAAGGCCCACCTGGAATTGAAGCTGGCAAGGGATGTCAAAAACAACAAGAAGGGCTTCTTCAACTACATCAGCAGCAAAAGGAAGGCTAGGGACAACGTGGGGCCGCTGCTGAATGAGGCGGGTGTCCTGGTGACGGAGGATGCGGAGAAGGCAGAGCTACTGAATGCCTTCTTTGCTTCAGTCTTCAGTGCTAAGACTGGCCCTCAGGAATCCCAGGCCCCGGAGGTAAGAGAGGAAGCCTACAGAGAGGACGACTTTCCCTTGGTCGAGGAGGACTGTGTGAGGGATCGCTTAAGCGATCTGGATGTCCACAAATCCATGGGCCCCGATGGAATGCACCCACGAGTGCTGAGGGAGCTGGCGGATGTCATTGCTGAGCCACTCTCCATCATCTTTGAGAGGTCCTGGAGGACAGGAGAGGTGCCCGAGGACTGGAGAAAGGCCAATGTCACTCCAATCTTCAAAAAGGGCAAGAAGGAGGACCCAGGGAACTACAGGCCGGTCAGCCTCACCTCCATCCCGGGAAAGGTGATGGAGCAGCTTATCCTGGAGGCCATCATCAAGCAAGTGGAAGAAAAGAAGGTTATCAGGAGTAGTCAGCATGGATTCACCAAAGGGAAATCATGCCTGACCAATCTGATAGCTTTCTACGATGACATGACTGGCTGGGTAGACGAAGGGAGAGCTGTGGATGTTATCTACCTTGACTTCAGCAAGGCTTTCGACACAGTCTCCCATGATATCCTCCTGGGGAAGCTGAGGAAGTGTGGGCTGGATGAGTGGTCGGTGAAGTGGATAGAGAACTGGCTGAATGGCAGAACTCAGAGGGTTGTCATCAGCGGCGCTGAGTCTAGTTGGAGGCTGGTGACAAGTGGTGTCCCTCAGGGGTCAGTACTGGGCCCAGTCTTGTTTAACTTCTTCATCAACGACCTGGATGAAGAGTTAGAATGTACCCTCAGCAAGTTTGCTGACGACACCAAACTGGGAGGTGTGGTAGATACACCAGAAGGCTGTGCTGCCATTCAGCGTGACCTGGATAGGCTGGAAAGCTGGGCAGAGAGGAACCTGATGAGGTTCAACAAGGGCAAGTGCAGGGTCCTGCACCTGGGGAGGAACAACCTCATGCACCAGTACAGGCTTGGGGTGGACCTGCTGGAGAGCAGAGAGGGACCTGGGTGTCCTGGTGGACGACAGGTTAACTATGAGCCAGCAGTGTGCCCTGGCTGCCAAGAAGGCCAATGGGATCCTGGGGTGCATCAAGAAGAGTGTGGCCAGCAGGACAAGGGAGGTTCTCCTTCCCCTCTACACTGCCCTGGTGAGGCCTCATCTGGAGTACTGTGTCCAGTTCTGGGCTCCCCAGTTCAAGAAGGATGAAGAGCTACTGGAGAGAGTCCAGCGGAGGGCTACAAGGATGGTGAGGGGACTGGAGCATCTCCACTACGAGGAGAGGTTGAGGGAACTGGGCTTGTTCAGCCTGAAGAAGAGAAGGCTGCGAGGGGACCTTATAAATGCCTACAAATATCTGAAGGGTGGGTGTCAGGAGGATGGGGCCAAGCTCTTTTCAGTGGTGCCCAGTGACAGGACAAGGGGCAATGGGCACAAACTGAGGCACAGGAAGTTCCGTCTGAACATGAGGAGGAACTTCTTCCCTCTGAGGGAAGTTCCTGTGCAGCCTGCTCTAGGTGACCCTGCTTCGGCAGGAGGGTTGGACTAGATGACCCACAGAGGTCCCTTCCAACCCCTACTATTCTGTGATTCTGTGAAACAAATTTTTATGTTATCCAAAACTGCTTAGTGACGCATCTTGAGTATGTTAAGTGGGGATGATAAGGATTCACTTCGGATTAGTACTCCTGATCTAATTTAAAATGCTGATATTCTTTTAACTTCAAACTGAAGAGGTGTTCCTGAGGAAAAGGTGATACTTGGCCATGTGGATGCAAGAATTGGATCGATAATGAGTTTGCGAGTTCTGTAATAAGCATCTCCTACGTTTAGCTATTTTAAGGGTTTTGTTTTCTGATAAATATCTCCGGCAAATTAAAGTATTTGAAAAAATATTTTAAAATCTCATCCTTCTCCATCTGTTCTCCCTGAAATTATGTTGTAACTTAAAATCACATAAATACTATCATAACTTCATAGGTAGAAGATATTTGTGTTCAAACACACATATATCCATTTTAAAATATTTCTTGGCTAGTTTCCAACTATGTAAGAACTCAGAAGTGAAGTCTGCAAACTGCTGATGAAGGCTAAGCCCAAATTGCGTAATCAAGCAATAGAATCTGGCAGGGAGATGGCAGGTATGACAGTAATCCTTCTTTGGAAGTGACAGAATTGGTGCTTCTAGAAGAACATGCTATCTCTTCAGGCATGACAGGGTTGCTTCTGTAATGAAATGGGCTTTTATTAGTTGCTAATTACCTGAATGAAGAACTGTCCAAATACTTCCATAAAAAAGTACGAGTGGCCTTTACAGTCAACAGACTTTTTCATTGTTGAATAGCACACTTTAACCTTTGAAGATAAAACATTGATTACAACATATATTGCAGGTTATGAAAATATTGATCTGACATCTTAAAAAGCTTTTTGTTCCAAATATTCTGACTACTTCTACATTCAACAGAAAGCAGTTGAAAACTTCTGCTGAGACTGGATATTTTTGTTCAGTTTTCATGCTGGAGCACTGATAATGAGTAATACAGACTAATAAAATGTCAATTTATTTTTGATTTTGAGCCTCCTCTGAGGCAAATGCTGCTCATACTGTCTGTCTTCTTTCTAAGTATGATTTCAACTTTCTTGACATCATTTAAGTCCCCTTTCCAATATTTTATGTGGGATTCCAGCAAAGTTGGTATGCACCATAAACAGTTTCTGTTAAAGTTTTTAAGTAATTCTAAAGCAAGGATATTAAGTAGATGAAATAGAGAATGTCAGTATTTGCTGTGGAAGAAAGACAATGGATATTGTTTGTAATTCAAACAACACAAGCACTATTTTGAAATAGGTTAGTCCAGGGTTTAAGACTTACATGAGCGAAACCACTCCATTAAATATCTTTGTGGTGCACTAAAATCTTTTACTGATTTGTCTATTTATATTTCAGATTTGTATAAAGCATATGTCTTAATTGTTACTTGAATGTGAAAAGCAGTTTGACCGTATTTAAGCACAGAAATTAATAGACAAGTTCAAATTGTGATGTCCTTGGCATTTAAGTTTGCCAGTTTCCCTAGGCTGGTTTCGTAGTCAGGAGAGAGAAATAATAACCTCTTCCATGGAGCAATTCGAAGGACTGAAGTCCTGCTGCAGTCCTGAATTATGCCTTCTAGGAGTCAGCCTGGTGATTACCTCTGGATAGGATAATAATGGGGTTCTTTGTAAACTATAATGTATTTAGAAACCCATGAAGAGCAAATATATGATGAGACTGCGAACACCATGTTTGGTGTGCTAAAGGAAAGGTGATAGACTTTGAAATATTTTATATTTACCTACACTTTTCTAATATTACTGATACATTGTTAATATATGTGGAGAAAAGGTTTTTTAGCACAGATATTACAACTCATCATATAAATGATCTGTCTCTGTAGTTAGACCTTTCATTTTAACCTCAACGTGGTTATCAAGCAATGCACAATACAGTCTTCCTTCCAGTGAGACAAGTAGTTCTGTCTGGACTGACCTAACACATCGGTTGCTGCTCCACTAACTTTGGAGTTTAGTATTTTAGAATGGAAAATATTGCACATACTTGCAACCACTGTGAGCATAATTTGATTCTTTCATCCCTCCCCCTCTTTTTTTTTCAGTTCATAGCAGCCAATGACAAGCTATGGTTTTGGCTAGAAGTTAACTCAGTAGTAGACTTCTTCACGGTTCCTCCAGTGTTTGTGTCAGTATATTTAAACAGAAGTTGGCTTGGTAAGTAAACTAGTTTTTGCTGTTAATAGTTGTTATAAAAAAACTTAAACGTTGCACATTTTGACGGTGGATTTATTCATCTAATGGCATCGTGTAAGCGGAAGAATGTTACCAAAATTGTTTTTGCAGTGAATTTGCCATTTCAGCAGACAAGTGGATTATGTTAGAAAAAGCGCTTACGATGTCCGTTTTATTCTTGATTCATTAATAGAATCTTCTACTCTAAGTGGTGGTGCACTCCAGCTTGGAAGTACTGTGTAACATGAGGCCGTTTTTATAAAACATAATGTAATTGTCTCAGTTTACAGCCTGAGGAGGTAATCCAGACCGTTCATTCACTGAACTGGATTGCCATGAAATTTAGCCAGTATAGCTAAATTGTAAATCCACTGAAACAACAGATTTGGAAGATTTGCTTAGACCCTGGGCTTAACGTTTGTGTAGGACTGCTAGGAATGCGTTAGAAAAGAATATGCCACATGTAAAAGGGAATATAAAATGAAGCAGAGCAGACAAATCAATTGAAGAACACCCATAATGTACAAATGAAGTTTCTTGTGCATATTGCATATTCTCTCTAGTTAAGTAAAATGAAGGTCAAGATTTGGGAGTTTTTATTCAGGGAAAGCTTCTTGAAATGGCATCCTTGGTGAATGCCGTGTCTTTAGACAACAGATGAAAGCTCACAATTTGACAATCCATTTCTCCAGAAATACAGGCACTCATTGCCCCTGAAAACTTAAGAGAGTGGTCATCTTAAAAGTTTCACATGGAAAGGAAAAAAAAACAGAGGATGCTTTATAGTACCATCATATTTTCAACTTGATACAGAAGTGCACAGATGCAAAAATCATTGATGTATAAATATTATATGAAAAGAGATTAATAAATATGTAACAAGGTTAGATTTTATACTATATACTTTAGCTGTTATTAGTATGCCAAAGAAGAAAGCATTGAAGAAGCCAGAAGAGATCACTACAGATCCTCATATGATTGCTGTCTTCATTGCATACTTCTGTCGCATATGTATAACAAAGTAATGCTTTTTGAAGGAGAAAATGTTGTATGATTCCATATTATGATAGGAAATAAAAGTAAAAAAGAAGGTGTGCAAACTGAAACAAGCTTATGCTTAAAAGAAAGTTGTTAATTTCACTAGCTATAACTCAATCTTGGATTCTTTGCATTATGTGAATTAAGGGGGTGTATCTTCACACCTGAATGTGACATATCGGTGTTCCCCAGAACTTTGAGATTGACATCATTGGAGACGAAAGCTAAGTAAGAGCAAAAACTAGACTTACAGGATCCATAGAAAAGGAATATGAAATGAGAAAATAGCAAAACTGCAAAATTTGGGAAATGAGTCGAAGAGAGAATTGTATGAGGTGAACAACCTTTGTGAAAGTGACTGCATAATTGACTGACTCATGGTGACACAGCAATCCAACTAACGGTAACAAGAGGAAGAATGAGAGAGTTTGGCTGTTTAGCAGTTTCTGCTGGATAGTTTTTACAAGATTTATGTCAGTTTGCAGGCAGAGTTTAGCATCGTACTTCCATTTTTTCATACGATTGAAAGGATTTCCTTCTCTCTTAATTATGCCAAAGTCACTTTTTCTTGATTTCTTGTTTATAGTCCCACTTTACCTGTTTTTTTCACGGAATTCTTCTGAGACCTTTATCATCTGCTGAGGCACATATTATTTTTTTTGTGTAGTCATCTTAGGAGTGACATATTTATAATGTTTGAGCTTTGCACCTGCGGAAAATCATCCTTAGTGAAATAATTCACTAATTAAAGAATGTGGATTATTGAGGGTCCCTGACATAACTGTAATTAAAATCAGAAAATTATTGTTTTGAGATGCTGTGATGAAAGAGTTTTTAAGTGACTGCACTGAAGTGTATTAGTGAAGGTTGTCTATTCCTTTACACCTTTTAAAGAGATGGTAAAATTTACTCTGCCTGTGGAGCTGAAGTACTTTGGACATACTTATAGGTAATACACTAGCAGGATTGGGACTGTGAGTGGAGGGGAAAAGAGGTTGTTTGGACCTTATTATTTATACTCTCCGGTTAGATGCCTACTTTTCCTTTTCCTTTTCTGTCGTTTTAGTAATTGAAATATCCTTGTGCAGAGGGCGATTCAGAACAGAGAAGCTTTGGTTTCTGCACCAAGTGTCCCCGTGGAAATAGGAATCACAGGCAGTTAAGTCTTCTAGCGAGGCAAGTAAATAGGGAGTGGTTAACGTTAGGCAATGTGAAAATCATTCAACAGGTTTGGACTTCAGTGTATCCCAATAATTCTTTCATGTTTAAAGAATTTGTTACCGATTAAGCAGGGTTCCTTTATACGCCTTAGATTTCAAGATCATTTAGGAGCCCAAATACAATACATTGTCTGGAATATATTGTGCATCACGGTCTTTCCAGTTTATTTCACTATTGATTCATGTCAGTCAGCTGTGATGGGTTCATGTAAGTACTAGACAGCATGAAAGTCACCAGAACGTGGCTCCCTGAATTCCTGATTTCAGAAAAACTGTCCTGGTTTAGCTGACTCACAGTAAAGTAGAAACACACAGTTTAAACAGTATTTAAAAACCCCAAACCATTGTGAATTAAAAATAAACTTTGCCTTCAAGCAGTAAATGCTCATAGAAAGGTGTGAAGTATAGCAGAGTACCTGTGATCTGAATGTATCATCTTTTAATGTACTGTAGTGGAAAGCTAGTGCGTTTTTTCCTTATCTTATGCTAGCTCAGAAATGCCACCATTTAGCTATTACGTAGCTCTTTGTATGTGAAGCCTTCCACTTTCCCCACTACTCTTTTGCATTCAGTTGTTCATAAAATGTATTTTTGTATCTCAAAATGCCATATGTGAATGAAAATTTGCATCAGTATTTATAAAGGATGTTGTTACATATGTAATCTTCCACCTGAATTCCAGTATGCAAACAAAATTCAGTATACAAGACGGATCAGATTACGCTTTTCCATCAAAAGGTTTTTAGGAAATAGTAGAGCGTTTGCTGTGTAATGTATAGCTGAAGGCACAACAGCATTTTAAACCTGCAAAATATCAAATTTTTAGATTTGATAAATATTTTAGAAAGGATTTCTAGGGTATAATTTTTGCTAGCCTAGAGTAGCGTAAGAAAATTAACTATATGAGCAGAATACAGCTGGCCCATGGAATGCTCTGCATATTGAAAGATTGGGGTGGAATGGAGAAAGGGAAGAACATTTTAATGAATCTGCAATTCAGTGATACACATTGCTCCGACAGTCGGTATAAAAATTTCTTATGCTCTGACATAAAACTGTGCAGATATAAGCAGACATCGCAATAAGCTGTCCAGGGAGGTGGTTGAGTCACCATCCCTGGAGGTGTTCAGAAAATGTGTAGGTGTGGCACTTCGGGATGTGGTTTAGTACGGATGGTGGTGTTGGGTTGATGGTTGGACTTGGTAAGCTTAGAGGGATTTTCCAACCTGTGATTCTGTGATCAGTGTGTTTTCTGATGTTCATTTGCATCTAGATCCCGTTGACATTTTTCCAACCGTTTTGCAAACAGTAGCATTTGTGTAGATACTTACACATAAACTAAAGCTATGGTTCATAAAGTCATAAATATATCTTGCACCACACTGTACAAGAAACTTTCTCATAGTGATAGAAGGACAATAATCCACTTTAAGTTCAGGCTTCTGTAGAGTGGAGAGAATCTTCCCAAGGGAAGAATGATAACAGAAAGGGTGGAGTTTCTGGATCCTGAGATTGTACAGGTAATTTTGACAGTTAATTTGAACCAAATTATTTCAGTGCATTGCTGAGTCTGGGTACTGTCTTTACAGTCTAAGTGAAGGTAGGCTGAAAAGGTTGTTGGATGAAAAACAAAGGTTGTTGGATGAGAACAGAAAATTTGCAATGGGAAAAATAATGCCATGGTAAAATTCATTTTTTAACACAAAGCCATTGTGATCTGAGTACCATAGCTATGTTTCAGATTCAGATCTTTGTTTCTTTGGATGGCTTGCAGTCTGCCAAGTTGGAGAGCCTTGCAACAAATGAACATCTTCCAGTTGTATCCAGTAATGATTTACACTCTACGCACCACTAAAAACTGTTATTCTATCTTCCATGATAGCAAAGACGCTTCAAATAACTGAAATGTCTTTTAGCATGTACTTGCATGGTTATGAAAAAGGAAATATTGATTTTATGAGCAGACTGTATTGTAACAAATTGTCTTGACAGGATGGTATTGTTAGAGGAAGATTAAACATGTAAAGTATGATCTCGGCTTCACATTTACAAGGACATGTGAATGAGGAACAATCAGCCTTAGAACTACAGTGATTTAAATAAAGCCTAATATATGGGTTTGATAGTGTCTCATATTACTGAATCACACAAATTAAAGATAGAAAAGCTCTATTAATTCATTTCCTTTTCCTGACCATGTGCTTTCAGTGCTTCATCTATTCTACTGTAGAAAATTTAAAGCAATAGAAACTGTTTGATTCCTAATAAATTCTATTAATAGGAAGGCTTTTTTCATCAGCCTTCTTCCCTGACATCCTCTTTAGTCTAGGCTGCTGCTGAAGGCATGCTATTTTTTCAGAAAATCATGCAAGATTTGCAGTGGGGAAAAAGAAGACAGACAACAGATGCAAGCGTAGACACATGCACAGCATAGAGAACAAATGTCTTTTTGTGGTGATTAGCATAGTATGGAAGAGAGGGGATCCTTTTTTCCAGTCCTTGCTCAAATGCTATCCAGGTCCTGTCACAGACGTCTGAAGTAATTTTGGAGGAGGCTTGTGCTCTCAGTATCAATTCATGTTGTGAGAAGATGGTTTCCAATATCTCTGGGAGACATTCAGCGATTTTTGTGAGTCAGAGAACAAAATCGGTTTCCCTCTGTAGAAAGAGGTGGCTTAGGAGAAAAGACTGCGTGTCTTCTTAAGGCAGTTAAGCTGGTGGTAT